GATTTTTAGTATTTGTAATGTTTTATATTGTTAATTGTATTGCCAGAGTGAATAAAATAAATAATAGAAATAAAAATATTCTACACTTATGTGGTACACACAACCATTCTACCACTGGCTACATAATCATTCACATGAAGCTGCATTATGGATATAAAATTCAGAATACACTACTAAATTTCAATATTGGACACAACAAAAAAAAAAATTGTGCCTCCATGAAAAGATTTTATTGAGTCGAGTGACTGAGCGGTAAGGCAATGGTATGCTTGTATTCTGTTTTATTGTACAATAGGCGAGGCTTTTTTTTTACTTTGTTTCACAAACTTTTTTTTTTAAAGATCGTCAAAGGAGGGTGGAAAAAAATAAAAATAAAATTTTGTTTTCTTCTTTAGCAAATAATTTTGCCAAAAACATCCAGAGAAAATAAAATAAAATGTTATTGGTGAATGTAAACAGTGTAGTAATGAGATGGGTAAATGCTTTAAATTTAAATAATTAGGAAGAAATATATATATATATCTTATCCTTGGATATTTCAAAGCATGGCGTAATAAAAATGAAGAAAAACTTTTATTTCTTTCTGAAATTTCTATTTTTTTGTGGAGGCGGTTTATTCAAAATCATCATTATTGGCGGGCGGCAGCTTCGCTTAACGAGGTATAAAAAAGTCTTACCTTAAATAGACATGCTCTTTCCCAGTAAATTGTGAAGCTGGCAAATGTTGTATTGAACTTACTGAAGTGACTGAAACGCTAGCAACATCCAATATGTCGTCAGAATTCAAAGGGTTTTTTGTGTGGCCCTTGTGACAGTTTAAATATGTGCTCACAGAGCTGTATTATATATGGTGGTAAAAGACACTTAGATTAAATATGTGCTCACAAAGCCGTATTATATATGGTGGTAAAAGATAAATGTAAATAAGACAAATGAACTGTCATAAAACAAAATAAACTGCTCCTAACATGTGACAGTTAGACTAACCAATTAGAGGGAAAATCAATAGATAGAATACAATAGCTCATGATACTGACTGATTACATTAGGTCTACAATTGTGTAATATGTTCAATGTTCAGTGTTTATGTCCACAAATCAATTCAATACAATTCAGGGTTAGAAACAAATTAATGCAATCACATGATTTAATTTGTGGAGGAGGCTATAAGCTAATTTGGCTCGCCTAATTGTCTTTAAGCCATAGCCCCCTTACACAATGTTTAAAACTGTATTATTAATTTAAGATTTTAAAAGCAAAACAAGAAAGAAAAACAATAAAAAATAAAGAAATATATAATTTATAAATAAAACATAAAAATAAGTGATCAAATGTATATCATTATATCTTTATTCACGCCATTCTTTCTTCTTTACAATTTCCTTAAAAATGCAATGTCATGGTGTCTGTTTCTAATAGCTATGGCTCAATTCCCATTTATTTAAAATACAATGTTTTACTGTTGTTCACTCCAATTATAAAGTAGATTGCAAGTTAGAAATCTTTTCACTAATGATGGTGAAGGATTTGCCGAAACATGTTTGTTTTATACCGAGTTTTGATAATAAAATCCACTAGACCTTGCCTGTGGTATTAAGTTTGGATTGTGGTATTCTTACGATGTTTTTGCTGTCTGCTACTACACATCATTAATAGATATACTGAAAATCACATAGGAACTGCTTACTTTTTTTTTAGGCCTATAATAATAACATGATAGAACAGGGAACATGATAGATCAGAACAAATATACATTTATGTGTTTAAAGAAAATGTTTATTCTTTATACAGTATATAAAAATTAAAGACTGCTTATAAGTTTTTTTTAAATTGTTTATGGTGAATTTTTTGTTTGTAAACCATCATGAAGATTTAGCCATAATTTTGGGCATATAATACGGAATAGAGTTGTGTCATTTAAGTAAAATTAGTATTTTGGGAGAATCTGGTTGAATAATTATGAATACTTGAGGTTTCAGTATAGTATTTTAAATGGTATGGAATAGAATTTTTAGAATGTTGAAACATAAACAACTTGGAGCTTATTAAGGTCATATACTAAGAATGTTTTATTTATGGAAGATAGCTATAGTATGAGACTTTTTTTCCCCTTTTCACAAGTATACCAATTGTGCAATTATGCGGTATAACGTTCACTTCTAAGAGACATGTATTCTATCACTTTTTGACCTTGACCGCTATACTGGTCGTGAATTCACTTTCATATATTTTCATTTAACCTGATAATGTATTAATAACTCTGTCCATAATACGCCAATCCACATCCAATCCACACAGTCTTTATGATGTGTTTCCAACAGAATCCAATAACCAAACTTAAGATCTGGGTAAGGATACCCAGATTGTACGAGTACATTCGACACTGTTTAACTTCTGTTTGGTTTGAAATGAATTTCTGATACACTTTTTTTTTTATATGAACACATTTTATAAGAACACTGAGGTTGAAATTGCTCGAAAAATAAGAACAAAATAAGAACAAATTGAGGCTGATGTAAAATGTCAACTGACATTTTTATTTTAAAAAACTATAAAAACCAACAAATCAAGCTACTCAAATACAGAAAAGTATTACCGTAATATTTAAAAATGGTATAACATTATATTTACGCCATAATGTAGTAGGTGTGACTTTGAAAAGTGTGTAAAATAAGAACTAAAATAAGAACATTTAGAGTCTGAAATTGGCAGAAAAATAAGAACACTGAGCCTGGGCAACATTTTACTGGTTCTTTTAAAAAAAAAAAAAAAATTATTTTTAATAAATGTTATCTAGAATCTTTGTCTTATATTAGTAAGATCTAAATTCCAAAGGTAGTCCAGTATAATATCACCTTTACTCCTGCCTAGACACCATAGGTTCTGCAGTATATCCCTGGTTCTTAATAGGCGGCACAGGGGAGGCGGCACGGGGGCGGCGTCACAGGGGAGGTGGCACGTGGGAGGCGGCACAGGGGAAATATTTATACTTCGCTTTCCTTACGGCTTCGATTCAAGGGCGCTTCATCACTGTCTGGGATACCACCTCTAGTTTTAACAAAACAAAGGGCATACCGCCCTCTCACATGTGCTATCCCTGTATCGTCCTATTTAGCCCGTCCAGCAATTTATCCCGGCCCGCAAGAGAAAATAAAATGAAAAAAAAAAAACATTTCAAGTTACTAAAATTACTAATCATTTGATAATTTTTTTTTTTTTTCTAGACCAAAAAACAACACTGTCAGGTAGGCCAAGCATCATTTCGCATTATTTATGCTGACGCAAAAATGCCATCTTATAATTTAATTAGTCTTTATATTCATTTTTTTTAATTTTGCACTTGGGTCATGGGTTCAAGTGCACAGAGACGATTTACCATTACCATACAGAACAAAATATTGAGTCGGTATACCTATCATGAACACAATGGACAACGTTTTATCCATCCATTTATTAACTAAATTTGTGTGGTCCATTAATGAATTGTTTTCATTCTATCACATCTCCTTAGCGTTGATGGGAAAAATTAAAAACAACAAACGACTTGCCATGCAGTGACAAAATCAATTAAAAACATTTTGACTCAAAGAGTAAATTAATAGGATTAGAATTATGAACACGTTCAGTTATCAATATTTTAATAGTCAACATATGTTCGATATTGATTTTGAAAAAAAAAAATTGTTTCAATACATTATCTGAAATCAATGAGGAAAATGATAAATTACTATATGTTCTCTCACGAAAGCTGGAAAATAAATCATATATTGTTATTCTCAAAAGTGCTGCTGTCATTTATTTTATATTATAATCCAATTTCCATCTATTGTAATTTACCCCAATAATTACAGCCTCAAAATACTACTTTGTTGGAGCTTCTCGGCCTCTGGACCCGACGGGGACCCTAAGGGGCTCCAGCCTAAGGTGTGTTTTGCTTGCAAGTGCACCTCTCCCCCATCAAAAATCCTGCCTTTCTGCAAGCAACTTAGTGGCTAAAACTTGTATTTATTTTTAAAATTCAAATCTTTAAGCCTGCATATTATTAGGCATATACAATTATTTGAGGTACATTACCACTCATCATGCTACTAAAAACTGTCGGCTCCCAGCAAATTTTGCGATGATTGAAATTAAGTGGTAGTGGCCTTTGCAGTGGCAGGGGCCCCGTCAGAGAGGAATTTCCGATGGAGAACCCAACACAATTCGTCAGGGAGAAAAAACTAGTTTTACAGAATATGAAGCTCTAAGATTGATTACGGGCCTAAAAGCACTTAAAATCTCTAAATTGTTATATTCCGGGGCCTTGACTTTTGTTTTATGACTATTTTACATAAACAAGAAATAACATCATCAATGAGCAAAAAATAGTGAAAAATAAAGTGATTTCTTCTTTTGGCAAAATATTAAATAAATTGTATGGTTGCAATAATTATAATGAATGTAGTGTCCTAATAGTGCGCTGTAGTACAATTGAAAATAGGATAGAATTGTATATTGCCAAAACCTTCAAAGGTCTTTGTGGCCAACAGGGGCTTTGGTCACAGTGGCTCGGAATTTAACCTTAGACCATAACTAGTTGCTTGTAACTCCGAGATTATTAATAATAATGCAATAAAACTTATAAGGCGTCTATATTAAAGTTAAAAATAACTTGCCACTGGCGCTAAGAGAGAAATTGAAAAAAAGCTGCGGAGAATCCCACAAAAAGAACAGAAATACAGATTAGTGAAAATTTACAAAAATAGGTAGGCCTAGATTATATTTCGCCTGTGAAAACAACTCTAAAAACAATTTGGCCATTCAACAAAATTCATTAAGAAGCAGGGGTATATATTATGGAATGATCTTCAGAAACATAAGAAAATTAATTTTACATCTAGTTTAAAGTGACCTTCTATATAATGTTTTACTGTGAAACACCCACAGTATGTATAGCATCTACCTGATACTACTACTACACACTGATGATACAATAACCAAATAAACTTGAGACAAAAAAGTTATACATTACTTCAGGTTCTATTTAATATTCAAAATTATTCTACATTTAGTTTTAAACTGTTGAGAAGCTTATTGCCAAAGAATTTCAAAATAAAAAAGACATACTCTTGAAATCCCAGTACAGTACTGTAATACTGAGAAGCCTTGAAATCTTTGACCAATCACAAGCCAACAAGAACAATTTTGCAAATTTGCTCCTAGTACAATATATTATATTCACATGTTTTTGACACTGGTTGAGAATCTATCTTTGATCATACACTAAAATCTAATCAGGCTCTTTATATACAGTACATTTAAAGTTATACTGTCTGTGGTGAAATCCAAAAAAAAAAGCCATGAAACAATAAATTTAACAATTGAAATAATAAAATAAGTTATTAACTTAATGAGAAAGATTAACAGATTTACAGAGTTACAATGCAAAATATTTTAAATTGATTACCAGCCAATGTAGGATCAGAATTAAATATGTGTCTAGAAACTGTTAAATGGCAACATTTTTCATTGTAATTTTCTAGTGAAAGCTACTACACTTAACATATGCCTACCCCAGTGGTGGATGCAAGATAGACGGGGATGGGGGATATCATAATTATAAATATAAATACCTCAGCCTCAAACATGGTGGGTTTCCATCTCTGAAAGTCCGCCTCTGGGCCCCCTCTATTTCAAACTTCTGGATCCACCACTGGCCTACCCCCTATGTACCAAGCTTTCCTTAGACAAAAGCCAAGGGTATGATTTGAATAAGCATGCAGTGCTGAAAAATTGCCTTTTATTCCCTGGGTGTAAGCACACACCTAAAAATCCGCCCAATTTTGTGTTCAAGGAAGGGGAAGGGGCCTTATACCAGAGGAAATATGGTACTGATTTAACCATGCAGATACTAAATATGGTACTGATACACGAAACTGATTTAACCATGCAGATACTAAATTTCCTTTTTTAACTCATCACAGACAGTAAACCTTTTGAGGCTCTGTCCATACCATCACATTTTCCTTACAGTTGTATGCCCATATATAGTCATGATGTGCCTATATATGGTCATAATGTGATGTCCTCATGACCATATTTATGTGTGCCACATGTTTTTGTCAACTAAAATGTGATAGTCTAGTCAGAGCTTTGGGCCCTTAACAGCATATATGGTTTAGACCCTAACTGACTATTATAAAAACACACTTGGTCATAATATTAATAAGGAATGAAGAATGCTGGAATCCAGTTACCATTGCAGTACTTTTAAAACCAAAATTGCAATTTTATATTCTGAGATATATAATCCTGTGTGACCATATAACAAATTAAACCTTCAAAAACAATATTCTTTTTCGTATGAAAAATACATCTTGTAAAAACAATACAAACACATTTAATATTGATTATAATCAATGATATAAACAATACCAAAACAATATAATGATGATTAACCATACAAAAACAAAACTAAGCAATAGGAAGGAAAACTTCATTACTGTACAGGATTTGATAGCCTATAGGCAATGGTATTAGAATTGTGTATATTTGATCAAGATATTCTTTTAAAAAGCCATTTTTTTGCTAAAATTAGGCTTGACTTTTGCAAAGGAGTGCATATTTATGAAATAAAAAGCTACAGTTTTAATGTCTGGTCATGTCCAATAAATAACATGGTGTCTTTTGGCCAATCAGAAGCTGTGATAGAGACACCAAATTCAGTAGATTTACACATGATTTAGGATTAAAATTAATTATTGTTTGTGAGCTTCTTTTAAAACTACTCTTTCATGTTTTGAATGCTTATGGAAGGATCACACAAAATTAGAACTATTTGTAATACAACTTTTGATCATTACAAATCAAAATACCTGTCGCATTCAAAATGCATTCGATATATTTGGCTCCAAAATAGTTGTTCTGAATGCACATAGAAGTTTTGATTCTAGTGCACTATCTACAAAATGAATAAATACATGGTAAAGAGCAGTGTACTGTATGGTACATGTGCTTCTATTATAGTGCAGCCTCCAGTGAAGTATCTGGCTCTAGCCCACCCCTAGTTGCAACTCCACCCGCCATTGAAAATGTCCAAAGCAAAAAATTCCGCTCAAGTATTTAAAAATCATTAAGCCCCCCATCCTTTGTTCCCCCCATCAGCCCCCAACCATTTTAAGACTGTAGATACGCCACTGTAATTAGTAAATCCACAGTAAATTATTATCCTTGGAGCTAACTGCGTGTTACAGCGATTCCATGCAAAAGTTAAAGCGTGCGCTATCTGTAGTTGCTGCTCAGACAATACTGTATGATGGCAATGCCATTGTATTGAGCGAAAATACACATGCTTCTTGGCTTGGAGAGCACTATTATTTTTACCATAAGAAAATACATGACTATGATGCAACTCGTGGCACTGCCACAAAGAAGTTGTAAAAGCTATTTATTTCTTGAATGTTCTGGATGTTCATAAGAATAAACAAGACATTTATTAATATTTGATAATTCTCTTCACATGCCGTGGAGACCACAACTTTATATTGATTCAGTTTGCTCTTTAGCAAGCAATAACCACAGTTGGATTACTCTATTCATACAGTAGGTTGCATTTTCCAAAATCTTTTTGGTTAATTGTAGCTACACAAAAAACAGTTGCCTCTTCAAGTGTGGATTCACACCTTAATGAGCAATGCTATACTGGGAAATGCTTGTGGCAAGTTTCAAAAGCATAGATCTACATTTGAGAAGCCTGCCATTAAAATACTTCACAATGAATTGTCGGTCTCAATGTGTCGGCCTGACTTTTATTGTATTTTTCAATAGGCTACCAATTTATATATTTCTACATTTATAAACACATAGATTTAAGCAGTAATAAAAAACTGAAAGTACCATTATTACCAGAGGTCATGTTATAACAGTAAAAAAAATACATGCATGTTGGTAAAGTTTATGGGTGGGTGGGATATTAAAGCCTGTTTAGCCCCTCCCCACTCTCATTTTGACCCTAATTAATTACCACGGAGCATGTTATGATAGTCAAGTTTATTCTTGACATTACTTTCAATAGATGCATTCGACACCCGGGCTGAAATGCGCAATATTTAGTTGGCACATCGATGGAAAAGTAGAGTTTCTTCTGTAAGACACACTCTTGATGTCTACTAACCCTCATTGGAAAGGCCACCTCCCATCGGCCACACCAGATTGTGAAGAATTTTCTATTTAAAAAAATATTGTTGAACCTGCATTTTATCCCAACTAAATATCCAAGTTGCCAATTATGTATAGTAAAATTTAATGTGAAAAAAAAAACCAGGAAAAAACCAAGAGGCATCCCAACTGTGCTGCAAACCTCAGTTGGTTGGATAAACAAAGCGGTTGTGGTTCAAATCCTGGTGGGATTATTATTATTATTGTTTATCATACTTATTTAAATTTGCAGCCGATTCTTGGAAATGTTGGATCTGCAGAAAAGTTACGCTTCCCACATTGCACATAGTGTTGTGAAGATGCTTAATAACATTGCATTGTACAATACACTCTCCAGTCAACTTTAAAAACACTAGCATATAGATAAAACTCCATCCATGCAACCATTATGTAACAAAATTGTGTGGAGTGAACATGGCATGAAAATGGCTTGGTTTACACGAGAGCCCTAGTATCAGGATCGAGAGCTAACCGTTAGGACCCCCGTGAGAGCACCCAATCAGTCAGCGCTAACCGTTACCAGGATCTCAACGCTAATGGTTAGCAAGCGCGATCGGTATTAAAGCAAGTTGAGCAAGTTTCTCTCATTAACTAATCACACATACGCATTTCCAATTTCTAGTTTTCTATCGGCCAGTGATCCCATCATCATCTTCTTGATATCTGGATCGGGATTTTCTTGTATGAACGCAAGAGTGAGCGCGTGTGTTTTTTATCTGGATCCTGGTGGTGTGTGTGAACATAGCCATTGTCACATACCTATGTATGTGCAAATCACAGGTACTACATACTGTGAACAGATCCTTAAGCCAGTCCACATTTGAATACTTTCATTTTTTTTCTCTCTCATTTATATTAACTAAATAAGTTAATATTAAAAACAACAAAGTGACTTAAGAACTCCAGAACCTATGCATTCACATACATCTCTGACAAACAACTAATATATTAAATTTTTACTTGCTAAACAAAAACCAAAAAGCATATCCCACCAAAAATATTTTCTTTTTGGGTTTTGTGCTTTTGATTTTTGTTATATTTCAAATACCAAGGAGTAAGTACAACACTGATATGGACTGTCAGCTAAATGAAATACTTTGACATTTACTACACAATTTTAGTTCTCAAATGTTGCCTAAATCTCCCCGCCCCACCACTCCCAAAGAAAAAATAGCATGCATGTTGATTCCAATGATTCGGTGACACTGACACTACGTAAAACCTGCGACCGCTGCAGAAAATCGAGCCTTCTCTTTCAAAGCTAAGTTGAAACCTTTCCTTAGCATGATCCCTTCGACGTCTTTGTCTTCTTCTTGTTCCCTGGAATATAAAATTGTACACATTTTGCTTACTATTGTGGGTTTGCTTTTATTAACAATGCTTGTTGATCATGACAAAATCCTTGACTTTGCATCCTGTGATTGGCAGAGATGTGGTTTTTTTAAAGCTTTAATGCAGGGGTGGGCATAAAGTTTGGTCTGGGGGTCAAAGAGAATTTTTGATTTAACACTTTGACATTTCCAGAAAAACCAACATGCATTGCTTTAATACATCTTTATGTTTCAATATTACTTTTTTGGTGATCAGTGTCATGATGTAGAAACATTAGGCTTTCTAGCCCCACATATAGGCTTATTGCTGGCTACAACAAAAACATCTCGCTGCATGTGGTTCACAGGACGCACTTTGCCCGCTTGTACTTTATTGATTATTCTGATGAGCTTGACCAATTTCATGACCGACATGATCCCATAGGAATGGGACTAAACACAAAATTACGTCATTCAGATGCAGCTAAAATATGTGGTGTGTGAGCTGGAATGATTGCTATAACAGTCTACTGAGCAATATATACTAATAAACAGCAACCATAGCTACAGATATGTGTCCTAGGTACATTTTATTATACTGTAAAAACTCAAATGGAAGCCCTTGGTCTTCTTTTTAAGACAGGCTGTTTTTTTTTAGATTCACTATTTGGGGGGGGGGGGGGTTCTTTTGAAACTGAATGCTGTAAATATTTGGAATTGCTACTATAAAACCATATTGGACTACTGACTACATTTGTCAACCATGGAATTAGAAATTCTGTTCAATAATATTATAAACTCGCAAAATGATGATCCGATCTTTTATTCTTCACATTTATGAAATATTTTTAAAAATGTGTCTGACCTGGTTTACTAATTATGCTTGCTAAGTCCTTAGTATTACCTCTTTTTGATTATTGTTGTTGTGTCTGGTCAAATTGTAATGTTCAATATTCTAATTGTTTACAAGTTCAAATGAACAGATTATGTAGAATTGTTTTGTCTGTTGATATTTATTCTTCTGTTGATGTTATGTTAAGTTCACTTGCATGGAAACGACTACATG